AAACACATACAGATCCTCGTGCCCATGTCAGCACGGGGTCGGGGCCGTTCCATTGGCCCGTAAGAACATCCTTCCACTTAACATAGCCAATCACAGAGGGCTGAGGGGACACATGTCTATCGGCCACAGAGTGACCATGAATATCCAAATTCAAAAAATTAATGGTAAAGAGAGCTAAGGACAGACGTTCTTTAGGAGTGTGTTCAGCTCCTATTCCCCCTTTTTGTTTTTGAAAAGTTTCCTTTAAGGTGCGATGAGCACGCTCAACAATGCCTTGTCCTTGAGGATTGTAAGGCAGACCATGAGTAAGTTGCACTCCCATGGTAGAACAAAAGGATGTAAATTGTCTGCCAGTATAAGCAGGTCCATTATCAGTCTTAAGGGATGCAGGAGCACCCCATGCTGCCCATGCTTCTAGGCAATGAGTAATAACATTACGTGCCTTCTCTCCCGACAAAGCAGAGGCATGAATAACTCCAGAGCACGTATCAACAGAAACATGTACATACTTGAGGTTACCAAAGTCAGGTATGTGCGTCACATCCATTTGCCAGACAACCAATGGCTTCAATCCCCGTGGGTTCACTCCATAAGTAGGGGGATGAAGAAATGTGACACAATGGGGACATTGTAATACTATCTGACGAGCATCCGCTCTTGAAATGGAAAAACGCCTGTGCAGCGTTAAAGCATTAACATGGAAATTCTGGTGAAATAATTTAGCCCCCTCTAAGGAGGAAGCCAAGCATATCAACTGGCCTCTAGTGGCTGAGTCTGCACAGGCATTACCCTGTGATAACGTACCAGGAAGAGAGGTGTGAGCCCGTATGTGCATTGGATAAAAAGGAGCAGTGCGGCTACAGATAAGTTGTTGAAGCTGATTAAAGTAAGCAGATACATTATGGGCATTACTAATAGCTCCCACGGCCTCCAGGACTTTGAGTGCTTGTACCACATAAATGGAGTCCGAGATAAGATTAAAAGGAAAAGAACACTGTTTAAAAACCTCAATAACAATTTGCAGTTCAACCCATTGTGGATTACCAGGAGCAAATTGATGCTGAACAGGGGGAGAATCATTAATTACATAAGCTCCCATTCCAGACTTGGAACCATCAGTGAAAATATTAACAGCCCCCGGAATTGGATTGGGTGAAGTTACCTTAGGGAAAATGATGGGATGTTCTTTAACAAAATGGAGTAATGGATGGGAAGGGTAATGATTATCAATATCCCCTTGAAACGAGCAACATAGAATAGCCCAGTTGTCTAGAGTAGCGCACAAAACATTAAGTTGAGCCTTAGTATAGGGTATAATAAGAGAAGAAGGTGATTGTCCGAAAAATTGAATGCTTTGGTGGATCCCTTTAAATGCTAACGCTGCAACAGCATCAGGATAGTATTCTAAAGATTTTCCTGGGGATATATGTGGGTGGATCCATAGTAAAGGCCCATCTTGCCACAGTACTCCAGTAGGCTGCCGCATAGTGGCAAGCACACATAACTGGAAAGGTTTATCACTGTGGAGCCTGCATAGAGTAGCATGTTGTATAGCTTCTTCTACTGTTATAAGGGCTGCCCTAGCCTCTTTGGTGAGGCTACGAGGAGAAGCAAGATCTGGATCACCCTTAAGGGTAGCATACAAAGGCTGGAGCACACCATTAGGAATATGTAAATATCCCCTTATCCAATTAATATCTCCCAGCAGTTTTTGAAAATCATTCAGAGTTTGGAGATCCCGAGTTCTTATGGTGATTTTTTGCGGTTTCAATTTGTCATGCCCAATGATTGCTCCCAAATACTCAATAGAATTCCCCGTTTGAACCTTTTCAGGTGCGATATGTAGCCCATATTGAGCTAACAGCTTTACTAAGTCTTTATAGGCCTCATTAACTATCTGCTCTAACTTAGCGGCCAATAACACATCATCCATATAATGAATGATCTTGATGGAGGAATACTTATGTCTGAGAGGTGCGAGTGCCTTCCCCACATACATCTGGCACATCGTGGGACTATTAGCCATTCCCTGCGGCAACACTACCCACTCAAACCTAAGATCTGGCTCCTCGTGGTTACACGAGGGAAGGGTGAAAGCAAAACGTTGTGAGTCTTTAGGATGCAAAGGAATAGAAAAGAAACAGTCTTTAATGTCAATAGCAATAATATGCCAGCCCTGAGGAATAGAGGAGAGCAGAGGCAGCCCTCTTTGAATGGGCCCCATAAGTTGCATTTGAGCATTAACTGCTCGTAAATCATGCAGTAGGCGCCACTTTCCTGATTTTTTCCTAATAACAAATATGGGAGTATTCCATGGAGAAGTAGAAGGTTGGATGTGACCCAAGTCCAGTTGTTCTTTGATTAAATTATGGGCTGCTGCCAATTTAACCGAGGGAAGAGGCCACTGAGGCACCCAAACAGGCTCCTCGGTGAGCCATGTTATGGGTATTTGAGCCCCAGTGGCCCCTAGGAAAAACCCAGACCAAATCTGTTAAGCTTTTGATGTCCTTGCACAGGATGCCTACGCCCCTGTAGATGTTTTCCTAGTCCTAGACCTGGCCTATACCCCATATTTTGCATAATCTGTTGAGACACCGGGGAATAGTCATTACTAAGAGTGAACCCCATGTCTTTCATCAGATCACGACCCCATAAAGAGATAGGTAAATCAAGTACATAAGGCTGAAAGGTGCCATTGTGTCCTTCTGGGTCCTTCCAAGATAGATGTCTACAGCTGATTTGAGGGGCTTGGGCATATCCCAAACCTCTCAGTGATTGATCTGAGAGCTGCACCGGCCACCCCTTTGACCAGTCCTTTTGTGCAATTATACTACGATCTGCTCCAGTATCGAGCAATCCCAAAATTGATTTGCCTTCTATGGTTAAGTTTAAAGTAGGACGGTCATTCATATCTAAGGACAAATAAACAGAATTCCCTCCAGTAACTCCAATCTCATCACTTGTCCTTGAAAAGGAATCAGCAGGAAAGCGGGTATGCAGACTGGGTAGAAGTAGCAATTGGGCAATCCGGTCTCCTGGGGAAATAGATACAATGCCCCTTGGAGCTTCCACCATAACTTTTATTGTCCCTACAGTATCAGGGCTAATGACTCCAGGAAAGACATGAAGACCTTGTAAAGTAGAGGATGCACGTCCAATTAGCAAACCTACAGTGCCAGGCGGTAAAGGCCCTTTGAACTCAGTTTCCACCAATTGGACTCCCATCTTAGGTGTTAATACGAGTCTGGAGGTGGAACAGAGGTCCAATCCCGCGGCACCTGTAGTGGCTCTCCGCGTCTCATGGGATGGCGTAGAGATGGCCATGTCTCGGGTTTGGGTGTGACATTCTCCATTGCCCCATATATTTGTGGGCCCTGGGGTCGGGGGCCCCTTCGGCCGTTTTTTGGCCCAGCTGAAATAGGCTGTCCATGGATGTCCCTCACTGATCTACACTCTTTTGCCCAATGCTTCCCCTTTTTACATTTTGGACACAGCCCCGGTTGACGAAGGCCATTGGAAGGGCCACCGTGAGGGGGTCCAGTAAAATTATCTTTTTTAGGACATTCACGTTTGAAATGACCGGGCTGACCACAATGGAAGCATGTTCCGGCACCAGGATTGCCCCCTTTTGCCACCCGAAGGACAGCAGCTGCAAGACCTGCATTAGTTAAAGGTCCTCCAATCTCTCTACACACTTTCATCCATGCTTCTATGCCCTTATTTTTATAAGGAGTGATTGCCGCTTTACATTCCTTGGTGCATTGCTCAAAGACCAATTGCTTGATAAGGGGCATGGCTCTATCAGGATCCCCAAAAATCTTTCCAGCGGCATCCACCATCCTTGCTACAAAATCTGAAAAGGGTTCTGTAGGGCCTTGTAGAATCTTGGTCAAATTGCCAGACACCTCTCCTCTATTTGGAAGCGACTTCCATGCCCGAATGCAAATGTTGTTAATTTGATCATATGCCTCAAGAGGAAATCCTGTCTGTTGATTTGCAAATCTACCCTGTCCCAAGAGCATATCCTTGTCCCAATGGGGGTGTCCCTCTGCATGGTTTTGGGCGGCCTGCTCTATTGCGCCCTCTAGCACGAATGCTCTCCAGTCCAAATATTTACCCGGGGAAACGCAAGCCCGAACAAGGCTAGCCCAATCAGAGGGAGTCATACAGTATCTAGACAGATTTTCCACCTGAATCAGCGTGAAGGCGGCATCCACCCCATAAGTGCATACAGACTCCGCCAGGGTCTTCACAATTTTAAAATCTAAGGGTTCATGGACTCTTCCCCTGTTGTCATCCTGAAAAACTGGATAAGCAAGACCCATCTCAGCGTGAACAGCCCTCCATGTTTGGGCATGGAAAGCTCTTCCCGAAACGCCCCCGCCATATGGCGGTGGATCCGGGGGATCGCTTTTCTTGAGCCCTTGTTTATCTTTGTTCCCTTCTCCTATAGCTAAACTCCCTAGCTGACGAGACAGCCTCCCGAGCTCTTCCTCCTCATCCTCCTCCTCCTCTGACCCACTTTCGCATGGGGGTGTACGCAGCGTACTGAGATCTGGATACAACCGTTTCCTCCCCCGTCTCATGCTCCGCACACTCCCATCCTCCCGAGTCACTTCACTTTCTGCCGTCTCTGATTTTTCCTCATGCAATCGCTCTAAAACCTCCTGTCCTTTAGTAAGTGCTTCCTGACATCTGTCATCTGTAAGGCAACCACGGACCATTTTCCAAAGGGGGATCACCCCACCCTCTAATATGCCCTGCTCAGAAGCAAAGTCAAGATCTTTGCCTAATTTATCCCAACTAGGCACAGTAAGGCTGCCCGAAAATGCAAACCACGGTGCAGCGATATCTATCTTCTGTAAAAATCTCTGTAAAGTACTATGTTTCACTTCCAGTCCCTTGGAACGTAACAGGCCATCTAGGGCCAGGAGAAGCGGACTTGAAGATGCGGCACCCATGACACAACAACAAAGGAAGCACAAAAGAAAGAAAGCGAAAGTACACAGTGCAGCTGCAATAAAATGTAAGGCTCTCTCTTTCATTACAGAGGAGCTGTCCCGCTTTGGTCGCGGATCCCACTTACTAGGGACTAACCCCGCTTTGATCGCGGATCCCACTTACCTGGGACTAACCGGTGCACCACCCCTGACTGTTGAAAGTTCTGGTTCCCGGGTTTCGGCACCACTTGTCGCGACCCCTTGCCCGCAAGGAAGACGCAACTCGAGAATCTTCTTTCAACAGTTTATTCAGGCCCTGGATATTTCTTCTTCTTCCTCTCGGATGCCCCTCCCAGCCTTAATAAAGCATCCCAAGCCCCAATGCAAAGCTGCCGCGTGGAGCTTTCTCACAGGGTGGTGAAAAATCATGTGCCAACTTTCCCAGATAAGAAGTTGTTTGTCACAGACCACAGCGGAGCCAGCGTCATCTTGTAATGGCGACCATAATCTGCAGAAACGGCAGAAGCGGCTCACCACAATGTGTAACTAATTAAAACAAAATTTTTAAAAATTTTTAAAAAATAAAATTAAAAGAAAAGAGTTTCAAATGCATCTTAACCCTTGTTAAAACAAGGGTTAAAAACCTTGTAGGGTTTTAGGCAGGGAAGTGGAATGATGTGATTTGCATTGTTTTAAGTTTATTGCTTGTGTTGACCTTGTCCTTAGTCACTTGCTCATATTTGGCTTGCTAGTCTCCAGTCTTGGTTATGACTTGATTTTACCCCATGGTGGAAAGCACAGCTGTAATAGAATAGACAGTTATACTTTAAGTCTCTGATGTTTGCCACAGGTCAGTAGACAACCCTATCTTAACATGTTTTAAAAGCCTGTGCTTGCTGCATGTGGGTCAAACATGATTATTTTGTATTCACTGAATAAAATTCCCTAAGTGCCTATGTGACTCCAAGGTAGAAAGAGTTCGTCAAAAGGGGAGGGGCATTAACTCTTTCAGGTCACTAGGGTACCATTTAATGCATTATTGCAAATGCACTTTTGAATAAATAGCAGGTTGTAAGAGGAATTGAGACAATTAGCCTCCTTAAGCTGACTTAAAAAAAAAAAAACCTAAAAGAAGCAGCCCTGAGCCATATGCAGGATAACTATGATGCAATGAGGCTTTAAAATAAAAATACACCAGAAAAATTATATGCAAATTAGTGTTGTCATTTTAGGAGTCAGTTTGCTTATTCCAAAATTCTTTGTAGTTGCTTGATATACTTTAGAAGCCCTTCTTTTCAACCTGCCTTCAGAAATGGCTGATGAGACCCTACCCACACCCCAGTCCTTGGGTCTCACTGAGAATTCAGTCTAAAGTCAATATAAGGGAGAATCTGCTCCATCTGAAGAGAAAAGAGCTCACTGTGGCACTTCCTAGAAGTTATGAGAATCAGGCTTTTGAGAGGATGGAAGACCTTCACCTAAGGGTGCCGCCTATCACCTGCACTTGCATATTCTCCTTGAAGAATAATGAACGCTTATATGTACTTGACATCTTCAGTATTGTGTTGATTTCTTAATTTTTGTAATTGACATGACTCAGGAAGGGCCAGGTGCTGAGGAAGAGATGGAAGGATATAAAGATGTTACCTGAACAACAAGATCATGGATATGCTGTAGCACACATGTGCCTGCTGAGAGGGCAAAGCCTACTCTCTATGTATCCTTTACTTTCAGCCAGAACCCAATGCTCTCAACTGGTGCTTTTCTAGTTCCTTGACTTTGACTTTTCCTTCATACACTTTCCTCCAAATATGATTATTTTTCTCCCTTTGCATGATTAAGACTTGCCTCTTCTCTCAGGCTGGTTCTACTAATTCCTTTGTTAAGTCTTCTCTAATCTCCTCAGTAAGAAATAACCCAGGCTATTTTCCTAAATAGCCTCTCCTTTGCCCATAAAGCAAGGTCATCCTTCTGATAAAGGATGAGTTCCCTAAAGTGATGATCTATGTGCCATAGATTTTGGTATCCACCAATTCCTAAAACAATGACTGGCATGAGGCATTAAAGACTTTGAATCGGTCAATTGAGAAAGAAAGAAAAGCACGAAATGTCTTCTAATGTAACCTAATTTAGGGCATGAAGGACATGAACAAACTGTGATAGCATAAGATCAAGATCTAAAAGGAAAGAAGCACACCAAAAAGCCGTGAAGTCGTGAGGAAATAGCCTCACACAATTCTGAGTCAGAAAGGCAGACATAGACCAAGACATCTGAAAAACAAAACCAACTGTTCAGGCACAGAACACAGAAATAAAGGAATCTTTGATGACAAAGCCAGTTGTTGTTTCAGGGCCAAGTCTCTTTGCCATCTTGAAGACATGAGAGAAGTAAGTTGACTTCTAAATTCCATTTTTATATGATGGTTATTTACTTAGAAAATATTTCCCCATATAAATTATATTAAAGTGTTAAGTTATCTAGACAGCTTATAGTTCTATTTAACTCATAATATACCTGAAGGATACAACAAATGGAACTAGTAAAATACAATTGAAAACCACTTATAAAATTTAAAAAATGCTTTGAAAAAATAAGGAAAGACTTCTACTTTGGACTAACATGAACATGGTGAAAGTTCACTGTGTCTCCCATGAATCACAAGCAAAATATTCTGAGGGAAGAATAACCAATTACCTGAGAACTTAGAGAATTCAATAACAGCATGTGAATTGAGTAGAAAAATCAAAACTTGAGGAATGACCAATATGGTGTTGAGTACTTTGGAGTTTGTTGTTGTTGGTGGTGGTGGTGGTGGTATTTTGTTTTTTGTTTTGTTTTTCTGTCTCCTATATGCCCTTAAACACTAAGGCAGACTGAAACACAGAACTACCTAAGTTTAGATAGAAAAAAATCTCCACGAGTAACCTCTTTTTTAGCTAGAGAACTGGAGATTAGAGTAGGAGCCTATGTGATGCAGAATGGGCAAAATTCTGATTTTTTTTTTTCTCTTTTCATTCTCCTAGTCTTGTCCTGAGGAAAAATCCAATTACAAGGCTGCACTCCTGTGATGACAGTAGTAGGTAGGCAAGCACCTAAAACTCTGGAGTGGAAGAAAATAAAAACATTACTTGGACTGAATATATGTGGAAATGATGCTGCTGTGCTCTGAACTTGCACAAGGGAATTCCCCATCATTTTTCCTTGTTTTCTCTTGACGTTTTCCTCTGAGTCATACTTGGACAAGAGAAATGTACAAAAGTGCACAGAAGGTAAAAACCTAGACTTATAGACAGGGCTGTAGGAAAAAGGGGTCTCAGGTTGGAGAACACAAGGTAAATAGTAGAGACAAAGGAAATGAGGAAAAGATGCAGTGACATGTATAAGGTTCTGGGTTCCTCCATAAGCTGAGCACACAGAAGTGATCCAAAGTGGAATATCAATAACTTTGAAAATGTGCCCAGAGTATAGAACAGACTAGGTCTCAGGCTAGTCCCTGGGGGACTACAAGCCAAACACACAGGAATAGTACCAACAAGGCTTGTAGACTCAGTGATGTCTGAATGACAGCCCACAGAAGGTAAATTGGAATTCCTGGTCTAAATTGAAACAGACTGACTGCTGGTTTTCTCCAGAGGAATTTAACAGGATCAGAGCCATAGAGTCATCTAACATAATATTCAAATTTTCCAGGACAAAATCTAACATTAAAAAAAATAACCAAGAAAACTCCAACAATTCTCTAAGACAAGAGATAGTCCATCAACACTAATGTTTATGACTAAATGTTGTAATTAATAAACAAAAACTTTATTTCTTTTTTTACTTTTATTTTTTGGTACTGGGGATTGAACTCAGGAGTACTTTAACCCTGAGCTATATACCCAGTCCTTTTTTTGGGGGGGCGGGGGCAGGCGGAGGGGAGAGACACAGTCTCACTAAGTAGCAGAGGTCTCACTAAATACTGAGGCTAGCCTCAAATTTGTAATCCTGCCTTAGCCTCCCAAGTGGCTGGCATCACAGACATCTGCCACCGTTCCCAACTCAAACAAGAATGTCAAAGCAGCTATTAGAAGCAGATCTATTAAGGAAAGGCAAACCCTCTTGAAATAAATTAGAAAATAAGACATGCCTATCAAGGAAATAAAAACTATAAAAACTAAAGAAAAAAATTTATAACTAAAAAATACTTTAAAATACAATATTAATGAGATGGGCCCAATGGTAAAATAGAGATGATAGAGTAAAGAGTGAAGCAACTTTAACATAGACCCATAGAAATTATCCAATCTGAACAACAGAGACAAAAGAGAGAGATTTGTGAAACAACCTCAATATTTCAACATCCAGGTTATGGAGTACCAAAAGGAGAAAAGATAGAGATTAGTGCAGAAAAAACATTTGAATAGTGCCTAAAGTTTCCCTAGACTGAATGAAAGACTTAAATTTACGTATTCAAGGTTGGTAAACACTAACTGAATAAACTCAAAGAAAAACGCTCAGACATCATAATCCAATTGTTGAAACCATTTTTCAAGGAAAAAGCTCTGTAATAACAGAGTTATACAACCCATTAAATATAGAAGAACAAAGTAGCAAATGATTAAAGATTTCTCATCAGAAATCATGGAGAATGAAGTACAATTAAATATTTATTAAATACTGAAATAAAAGGACTGCCAACCTAGAGTCTAATATCCAGAGAAAATATCCTTCATGAATGAAAGAAATGGGGTGGAGACATACTCAAATAAAGAAAACTAATAAACTCATAATCAACACATCTATTCTAAAATACCATGGAAAGTGGTTCAAGCAGCAGAGAACTGTTAACAGAAGGAATCTTGGAATTTCAGGAACAAAGAGAGAGTAACATAAATGGTAAATATCTAGGCAAATTTAATGAACTATACTTCTCTTGTGTTCTTAAAAATATATGTGACTGTTAGAAGCAAAAATGGTAACTTCCTGAAAAGGTTTAAAATTATGTAGCTATAGGTCATATAAAACAAAAGAAGAGACATTAAAGGAATCTATTTGGTTTTAAGGTTTCTATATTTGACTTGAAGTGGTAAAATATTAATTTTAAATTGACCATTAAAAGTTAGTTCTGTCAATTATAATCTCTGGAGCAAGTACTATAAAAATATAGACAAGTTTAGTCAAAGATCAATAGATAAATTCAAATAGAAAACAAAAAATAAAAATTCAAATAATTCAACAGTAGTCAAGAAAGGGAAAATTTAAATAGAGGGGGTGGGATAAACAGTAACAAAAATAAAAATCAGAAAGCCTAAATCCTACATATCAACAATTACATTGAAAGAAAATAGTAATTTAGCAATGAATCTATAAAAATTATAAGAGTAGATAAAACATTACATTTATAGGGTAAAGCTAAAATGATGGAAAAAGATTATCATGGAAACACTATTCAAGAGAGAGCTAGGAGGGCTATATTGAATTAAAACAAAAAAGATTTTAGAGCATGCAAAACTATCAAGGATAAAGAACATCACATAACTTACCAGAAAGGTAACAATTTTAAATTTGTTTGCACCTGAATGCAATCATGAAAAGCACACAAAACAAAAGCTAATGGAACCAAAAGAAACAGAAAAATCCACATTTATATTAAGAACCTCCCAACACTTCTATCCACTTCTATTTCAATAATCAATAGAATTAATAGACATAAAATCAGAAAAATATAGAGGAACTGAACAACACTATGACCAAGTGTACCTAATTGTACTTCACCCACAGCACCAGAATACATTTGTTTTCAAGAGCACATGGAACT